AGTGAAAAATGAACAGAAATGAACAAAAACGATATCTAAACTACAATTATTAAAAATCAGAAAATTTTCGCAACTTCACAGGAATTGATTACAAATACACGTATGAAATTTTGGCTTTTCAACACAGAAATATGTTATTGATGAAAGAGTTCGAATAGTTTTAAGTTATTCTGGTGAAAATATTCATTTTATATTAGCAAGTTTGAAATAATGAATTAATAAATTGACAAGATCTCATCTTTTCATCTTTTCGGCGCACATCTTACAATGTATGGTAAAAATGATTTGACAAAAAAAAGTGAAGTATTGTTTTACAATGTATATTAGCTTAAAATTTAAATTAAAAACAATAGGTCAATTAAAATGCATAAAAGTGCAATGTAACGAAAATAAGACAAATTAAACTAATCCTATTGAATTCAAAATGGCAGTAAAATATTGCTAAAAAGGTGATCTTTGAAAGGGTGCGAAGATAAGAGTGAGTAATGGTACATTTTTAATAAAATAAACAAAACAGTTACAGTATGGTAGAACTTTACTGAAGTGGAAATAGGGTTAATGATTTCTGCTTAAAAAATATTAATATTCGACTTTAAAGGTTGAAATCTTGTTTCATATATAAACAAATTACATTCATGAGAAATAAATATTTACTTTCCAAAGCTATCAAAAAAATCATATTGTGCGGTGTAGTTTAGTTGATTTCTTTGACGATATATTAATAAATTTATTATTTAAATGAAAATGATAAAAGAAAATTTGTGCATCATTTACAAAATTAAAATAATTGATCTTTTCCGAGCGTGATTCAATTATTGATTTATCGACATTTTAATCGTATATGGTCAATTTTTGCATTTCCAAAGAGGCACTGATATCAACCTTTGGTACATTCCATTCCCATACAATCTATTGTTCAAACATTTTAATCTAAACTGTATTGTTTTGATTCTTTTTCGCAACATTTCAATTTATATCACAATCGATCACCTAATGTACGAGTAGAATTTCCATCAAACAATTGTCAAATTGTATTTAAAAACAAAACTTTGGGAGGTAGACGAGAACAGTTGGTTGGAAACTGTCACAATGATTGAAACTGGAAAAACTAAAGAGATAAATGGTAAGAATGGTTTCAATGCTTTTTCGAAAAAATAAAAAAAATTAATTTTCAACTTGCACTATTTGGAATTGTAGATCAGATGTTTGCCCTCCTGATAAATCGCAACGAAAGTGACTGAGAAATGATGTTAATGACAGATGGAAGAGTAAGGAGAGAGAGGGTATCTCGGGAAAAGTATGTGAACTTTTCAATTTTATTTCAGTTGATTAAAACAGGAAAGAATAATGGAAAGATGTTATGGAAAAAAATGTAGCATAATTTCCTGTTAAATAGGAAAATGTTTTATTTTTATTTAAGAAAAAAATCGATTACTTAAAGAAATTCAAAATTAATGAAAAGAAAATAACGGTGATCGGTTTGACCTCCGCCATGCACTTCATGAATCAAAATATTTCGATCAAATATCTTGACATTGACATTAGTTAGTAGCAGTTATCCTTTGGATCATCGAACAACAATTAACTCTTTATATTGCTACAAAAGTTTTTAAAAGAATATTTTTATAAAAAAAGATTAATTTCATTTTATTTTAAGTAATAATATATTATTGCTTGCTTGATCGCTTGCGAAATCACTTCATTTCGCCTGTTATCGCCAAAATGAATAAATGAATGGAGAAGCTAATAACAAAAAAAGAGTGATCTCGAGCCAATAAGTTAAATTGTCGTAACAAAACATATTGATAGATTTTTCATTTCGATAAATTTTCGGCTTTGTATCAAATTTCAGCGCATTTTTAAATATATTTTGAAGGTGAAGAAAATATCAATTTCTAATCAAATTTTTTGAAAGTTCGCCATTTGAAGAAAATCCTATAAACTGCACTCTAGAAAGTCTGCATAGTTCATTAGAAGTATTGTTATAACAGTAGAACTTTAGTAGATCACAAGCTCTTGTATTTTGAAGTGTTTTTTGATCATATTAATTTCTATTGTTTGGAGTTTAAGTATTCGAAATGTAGCAGTTTAAATATTCGTTCAATAAGTATTGATTTAAGAAAAAAATTATTCAAACTAAAAACCTTTTATACGAAAGAAATCGATTAGTCAAGAAAAAGAAAAAGATAATCAACCATTTTGATATAAGTTGGAAAGAACGCCACCTTAGGGAGATTATTTATTCAATAACACTTCATCGAAATGAAATTCATATAATGAAATGAGTTCAACAAGATCTAGTACTTCAGGTCCATCATAATTAACTGCTTCTACAGTTATAAGCGATGAAAAATTAGCTTCTCAACAGATTTTGATTTATCTTATAAATGCGATAATAGGTGCTATACTTCTTCCTTCATTCTCATCTTTCACAATATACGATTTATAACTTTTACAGCTATAAAAAACCAAGGTTTATATATTTCACATATAAACAGCAAGCAATTTCTCAAAAAATTGATTGAAATAAACACAAAAAAGCAACTATTCCTGATTTCATTATCAGGAAGGTTTTCAAAATATCACTGCGCCAAATTGGTAACAGACAATAAAGGGAAAATTTACTCTGATCCTAAGGATTTACTCTGATTCAACTATTTATGTATTTATTCAACTCCCTAATTCAAGCTACTTTTTATCCTTAACGTGTAATTTAAAGTTTCTCTAGAAATTTTCAAATGAAAAAAAGATGCATAACCAAGATGCATAAATCCATGTTCATTGAATATTTCATCAAAGAGTTGACAGGTATTTCAATCGTACGCTGGTAAACCTATACTTTCCGGTTTGAATTCTTCGAAACTCTTCAAAATACATCCAATTTTATCGAGCACTTATTCGGGCGGCTTCATATATGTTATATCGAGAACCATAATAACTTGCATGCTAGCAGCAATAGTTGCCCGACCACTATTTGCTGAATCTTCAAATACCAAAATATTTAAGAGACTTTCTGCCTTTTCTTCGAATCGATTCATTATGGTCAGGAATGGATCAGGAGCTGGTTTTCCACGCTTAATTTCTGGATCATCTCCAGCCACATAACCTTAATCAACTTTTACTGTATTGTGCTATACACTGTGAGCCGAAACAAACTACACACTGTGAAAATTAAATACAGTCATATTAACATTCTCTTCATCGACTATTTTACACAATGTTTATTAATTTTCATGAACAGATAGAAAAAAAGGCTTACAATTAAAGGAATTAAATCGAGTAACTCCTTATGTATAGCCATTTTTGTATTAAACTCAACTTTACTCGAACTGGTACATATTGCCATATGTATTTTATGCTTCGCATAATCGCATAACACCAGGAAAAAGCGGATATTTAGCCATAAATTCATCAAATAGAGTGCTATACTGTTTATGATACTCCTCAATTGAAAGTTTCCTTTCCATACCAAACTGAAATGTTACCTTGCAGTGTAAAATTTACGAGGAAAAAAAATCAAATGCTTCCGTAACCTTCGACGATTTTTCCACAAATTATTCGGAATTTGGGTTTAGTTTCCATATTTTGATGCTACCTGATCCCATCGATTCCATAAAAACTTAAACCTTTAAAAAGGTAAGCAATACAAAAATTCGGGAAATAAATTCAAAATTTAGTAAAATGATTATATAATTTGTCGGGACTATGAAGGTTCCACTTTTACTTCCCTAGTAATTAGCTTTCATGCCCAATTACTTATAAATACTGCTGAGCAAGCATTGTAGAAATTTTTTTAAAATTTAATGTAATGAATTGAAATTACGCGTTTGATAAGAAATAGTTCACTGCTTGAATTCAGTGTCCCCGTAATTTGGAGCATTAGCTCAGATGTAAAAGTTTTCCCATATTTACTCCAAATTTTCTGACATATCTGAAAGTTAATACGCTCCGAATTATGCAATACACCATCCAAATCGAAGATTACATGGGTTATTTTCGATTGTGAACCGATCAGTCTGAAAAGTTTTGAGATTTCCCTCAGATTTAAAATTTCAAATATTGCATTTATTATAATATACAATGTGTATATATAACCAAAAATCCCAGATAATCTTACCGAGACTGCTCTGAACTGAAATATTACATTTGTTTACTTCTAAACTTTCAAATAGCAACAAATAACCAGAAACGGATCCGTTTGAATCAATAACTACCAGAAATTTCTCGCGGGATGTCTGTCACTATACACCGAAAAAAAGGAATGAAATTTAATTCGAACTGATTAGTAGTTAGGTAAAGTTGTAAAAAGATTTCGACGATAAGCGAGAATGTAAGTTTAGGAACGAAATAGCATTAAATAGTTGGAAGGGACAGAGATTGCTAGGACTCGCTATGGTTGCAGAAGGTTTGCAGAGATTTGGAACATGTGGACCGAATGAATTGGGGAATTTGCTTTTTTTTGTGGAGGGTAGGAACTGAAGGGATAATTAGGAGTTGGAAGGGATAAATGGAATATTAATTTGATGTACATATACGCTAAGAAAGAAAGGAGAAAAGAAAAGGGATAATTGTAATTTTTCTCAAAAAAAAATGATGTTTGGATTTCAAAATGTCTTTCAAAAAAGAGAATAACGTGTAATTTTGAATTCCTCCAGATTTCTAAAGTAATTTAATTTTATCTTGATTTCAGCTTTCCAGGTTTTGGCCGAACGGTACTGCAATGATATTAATTGCGAGTTGAACATATCGTGGAAATTAGGAAATATGCCAGACGATATGAGAAATTTAGAGGAGTTAGTTAGACAACTTCATTTATTTCATCTTTTATATTATTTTCATACGATGTATATTCACATGTTCTCAATATATACGCATACATACAAAGAGACACTTGCAAACAGGTACATAATCCTTTGCAGATTCGCGGGATGAAGAGGTGCAAGAAATGTCCATATGTTTAATTTAGTAGTGTTTTATTGTTACTGTAAAACATTATTATACATATATGACTTCATTTTAAAAAATTTAGATACTTCTATCAGTGTTACCGACCGGATTACAGTCTGGCTATATTAAAACATAATTGTCGTGTCAGTATTTTCGGTGTATTTGATATACAGGTAGCAATTCTGACATTCATGTTAGGTTTAGTTGCATGAATCAAGGGTTTGAGAGTGAATTCTCGAAATGAGTTAGTGCCAAAAAGAATAAATTGGCAAAAAAAAGATAAGTGAAGAAAAAAAAGAAATAATAAGGTAGTATTTTATTTATTTAACTTTTTCCAACCATATTTTTAAGATACTCTTTGGTAAAGTAGTATCACGCGGTTATGAGTTTGAACCCGGTGCTTATGGGGAAGAGCGGTTTATCAAAATTGCAGCACCTTATTCAATTGGTCCTCCGGCACAGTTTGTTTCACTTCAAGATAATCTTTTCAATCTACATCGTGTGAAGTGGCGACTGAAAGAGGTCTTTCATTTCAAATTGTTGTTTATAAAAAAATATCGTTGCAAAGTGTTATATTCATTAATTTAAGAGCAAAGAAGAAAGAATATCATACTTTTGGGAGAATTTAAAATGATCTGGATCTTTTAAATTTATAATTTTTCATATCTTTCTTATTTTTAATATTTTATTTTACCTTTTTGTTCAGCTAACAAACAAAGTGGATTCAGTATTGGAAAAATTTGAAAATGGTGATAGTATAATGCTTTTCCGATTCACTTTTTCAAAGATTTGTGCTTGTATCCGGGAACTTCATGGTCAGGTATGGAAATAGAAAGCATTTCTATAGTTTAATTTTAGGATTTCAAAAATTTTATTTCACCACATCAAGTCACCTATTTTTTGCTAAAATTTACTGTTTATTGCTTAATTATTTTGTGTTTCTGTTTTATACCACTCTTTGCGCTGGAAGTAGGGGAAAATCTGTTAGGTTTTAAAAATTTTTAGGGTTGATTAATGTTGATGAAGACTTTATATGGTATGTGATACCAAGCTGGTTCACGTTGTAATGATGTGCATAACTTTTTTTATATCCTTAAAGATGAATATGTGACAGCTGTCATAAAAAGATGGCTCTCCGTACGATTCACTCTAAGAATTTTGATTTTTTAGATTTTTTTTCTGCCACCAGATTGCAATGAATGTTATTCAGTGGGACCGCTGTGTAGCGCCCTTCAAATCAAATATCCATCGCTTTATACGGGTAAAACTGCTGACAACATTTTGCAGTTAACAGAACAAATTTTAAATAAATGGCGTAAGTCTTAAATTATTGTGAAGTGGCGAAATTAAGCTAATATGTGACATAAATTGGGTGCATTTTGTGAAATCTTGGTTATCACTTTGCATTAATTTAAGCTTTTCGGTTTACATCTATTTTTCAGTGAATACTAGATATGCAAATTAGAATCACGAATTTGAGATAATTCGCCCAGATGGAAATTATTGAAAACTTGAGCAAAGCTCCAAACACAAGTGGCTTTTAATATGATCAAATAAATAGAATGGTTTCATTTCACAGGAAGAGAAAAAAGAAGTATAACAATGATTATCGGGAACAAGAATACAGGAAAATCGATGCTTGTTCGAGTATTAGCTAATTCACTTCTTAGAAAGTAATATTTTTTGGTTATCCTAACAGATTAGTGCTGAAAGATTATTTTGCTAAAGAAAACGATATTTAACAATTTCTACTTTGGGTTTTGATCTCATTTTACACGGAAAGAAAAGATGTTACTTTTATTTCTGAGATATATATTTTTGTATGTTATATATATTATATATAATATGTATATACTTTTTCGAACCACTTGTTTCTTAAATGTTCTGAATTTTATCATTTTAGAGATCGACCGCCTCCATATATTCTCGACTGTGATGTTGGGCAACCAGAAATGAATCCACCAGGAAGTGTTTCATTGTTAAAACTGAGCTCACCACTTTTAGGTGCTTCTTACGTTTGTGGTTATTTTCTAACCATACTTTTTACATTGTTATTTGTCTTAGTTCTCTCTCCCTTTCTGTTTCTTAAATTTGTATCTCTCTCTCGCCGAACATTCAAGAAGCGTAAGTTGTTTCTGGAACTTTCAGGTGCACCGGCATTTCAACAGCGAATTCTTCTGTCAGATACTTATTTTTATGGGAAGATTTCTTTGAACGATGACTTCAGATCATATTTGGCTATTCTTCGGAAATTATTGGAATATTTCTTGAGTAATAGTCTTCCATCATCCGCGCTTTTGATTAATACTTGTGGATGGATTGAAGGTATTGTATTAGTAGTCATTTTTCAATATTATTTAAATATAAATTATTTTGGTTGAATTTTTATCTTAACCCTAATTGTTCAAGCAATTTCAGGGAAAGGTGCTTCGCTTCTGGATGAGATGATGAAATTATTTGATCCCGATTTTGTATTTACTTTCATTACTTCATCAGGATCCACTTACATGGTAATGAATATATCGATGAAAGTTAAGATTGTTAAATGCATGAGAAAGTTTTCCATTTCTCGAAATTTATCACGTTTGATCGAAGAATTGCCATCTATCTTTTGAGAATCGCAACACAAAGTGTCTGATAATCTAATATTACATTTCTTTAAGATTAAGCAATCTACTGTGAATGGAAGTGCAAAACCGCTTGTGTTTTATGGTGATGCTGTTGAAAAGCCTACGTAAATTTTTTTTACAAACTAAATAAAAAAATTTTAATCTAAGATGAAACAAAAATTCTTCAGTCGGTTTTTCTTATTATTTGTTACTTTAATCACAAAATAAGTTGGCTGAATGTACTTCAGACAGATTTTTATAATTTTACACAGAATGAATCATTTTTACCTTTTCTACTTTTATTTACTGTTTTTCTGAAGGGAGAGAGAAGCAAAAATTGGAAAGTTCAGTAATTTTGAAACTTTCAGCCAAATTGGTTGATTGTGTTTTTACTAAAAACAAATGCAGTTCTAAAACACTGATAGTGCTGCTTGGAAATATTGCGATATATCTAATGGTTAGAGAGTTTCCGGATTTGTGAAACTGAAGATAGCTCTAATTTAAGGCATATGATCTCCACTCCTTCCGTTTTACGAAATCTCCGAATAACAGCATATATGGCACATTCATGTCCTGTTCCGACCGTGAAATCATTAGCCGATGCAATTCCTTTCGCTGTATTATTCCGCGATGTAGCAGTATTGGTGCATTCAAATAGCCCATTTCCTGCAAATCATACATTTGCCGTTTTGAATTGTACTTTTGTCGCGCTTTGTGTTCGTAATTCTATCAGTCAATCGAAAGAGGTTTTTTTATTATTTAATGTACCTTTGTCTGTTATACTAAAAATAATCAGAATGATAATAAGATTTCTTTGTAACAACTTCTTGGTTTCAAAAAAATTCCACTCAATTATTTTTAATAAAACAAGGTATTTTTTACTGGAATATAGTTTCTGAATTGTCTTGTTGATTTACACAAGCTGTAAGATGAAAGATTAAGTGAAAAGTTTTTCTTCATTGTGCTGACGATATGCGATATCTTTTGATACGCAGAGAAAGAAAGATAGAGACTGGACGGGCTATACAGAAACATTTATGTAAATATGAATATAAGGTTGCTGAAATCTTCTTGAATATGTTATGATGTTTTGGAGAGCCTCAGATTTCTTTATTCTGAAATAAGCAGTAAAGTGTTTGACACTGCTGAAAATAAAAGTGAGGTTTCTATTCCAGGATTTTAAAAAGTACGCTTATTTAAAGGATAAGAGACTGTTCGACGATCAAGATATGCCAATTTTATTAAGTCCAGATAAGGTAGAACCGCTGCACGTCGTTGGTTATGGATTTATCAGGGCGATTGATTTGGAACAACGCATTTTCTTTATTTCAACACCTCTTGAGCTTTCAGACCTCCAAAAAGTCAATGTCCTTGCTCGTGGCTTAAATGTTGATCTTCCGCAATACTTCCTTGTTTCACAGGTTTCCATTTATTTATTTTTTAATGCATTATTCAATGATCAATTTTTTTAGTTTGATTACAAAGTTCTTAATTGAAATTTTGCAGTAGTATGATAAAAAATTTATACGAAGGAGTGGGCATATTCATTTCTTCCATTCATTACTTTTTTAAATAATATTTTGGTGATTTTCAGGAAAGATCAGCGATACCATATGTTGTTCGAGAGCGTTTTTCCTCCTTCCATACCGATTTATTCAAGGAATTAAAAATTAAATCAGTTTTTCACAGAAAAAGATTTCTGAGAATGCAAACTCAGTTTAAGGTGAAAAAACCTGTATTTCGAAGTTGACATTACTCAGTCAATACCGAGTCTTCTATAAAATCCTAACATCAGAACCATCTGAAAAGAAACAAGAAAACGACATCACAAATTGCTGAATGTTTGAGAAAAATCGATCAAATGATTCCCACAGTGTGCCTTTTATTGTCTTTATAATAATTATCCTTCTATTCGGGTATGAAAAAGCCCTGTTTGTATATAATTTTTGGATGTTAATTTTCAAGATTAAATTTGAAGTTCTAGAAGATCCATTCTTGCAACGTTTCAAACTGACATATCTGATGTCCAGTCATTTCAAAACATAATGAATAATATGAGATTTACTGCATATTATTTGCCCAACTACGAAAAACTGTTTCGAAACTGTTATTTTCAGTGATGCAGATCTTCATTTCCTTTATTCCTCTTCACTGCTGACCTAATATTGCTATGAATGGGACTGTTATATGTTCTACGTTTCAAGCAACCAATCACTGTTGAACATTTTCTGTATATCGTAAACAATATGATCGTTCATCTTTTACGTGGTGAATCACACAAAATGTCTTTTCTGAATGGACAACTTGGCATTCACAAAATTGGAAGCATAGCAATGGGGAACATTAGCTTCATATGCTGCGAAAAGGATCTAATCTATCCTTTTTTATGAACTGATGAATTAAATTTAAAAAAAAAAAATGATGTTGGGAATATAAATTTTGGATGGTGTCATCAATTGATTGAAATTTGTCAGTCTTATTAATTGAAAAGCAAGGTTTTTATTCAGTTCAAAGCTTTCTGCAATTTGATGGATCTCGCGATGTTCAGAACAAATCCATCGATCACTACCCATTGGTATTACAAATATTCATGAAAGGATTGCATCCATTAAATCAAGAAATTGTACTGCTTCAATAAGTCTGTGTACCTTAATATAAATCATGTGATATGCTACAGATAAAGTGGAAATTTAACAATAGCTCGAGCAATTATACACCAATTTAATAAATTCAACGGTTGCTAAACTGATTTTGAATTAACGGAGAATTGAGTAGTGGAAAAGTATAGTTTTTATTTCTTTGTAACATTACTAATTACTAAGCTTGTAGGATAAATAAATAGCCTGTTTGTAAGAGTGATCATCGGTCATTGCAAGTTTTAATATATAAGGAAGCAGTGTCTATATAATCAACATTATTGAAGTTATTATACTCATAACAAATGACGAAAGCTGATATTTCAACTTATGCTATGCTAGAATGCTCGTAGGACAAATTAAACTACTAATTAGCATATCTCTTGCTATTACTGTTCAACCACGCACTTTTGGTTTTGAAATCTCACAAGAGAACATGTTATGTATAATTTACGGATGAAAATGATGAAATATCAATGAAAACAAAAAAAAAAATGAACATAATAAATTAACATGAAATAACTACATCATATCGTTAGTTAACAGAATTCCGTATTGAATTACAGTAACTCAATTGGCCGATAAAAATTTCTACCGTATTGAGTTGTCATATACATCGATTAATAAAAATCCCTTCCGTATTGAGTTACAGTGTTATGAAAAGGGAATTAAGCTTACATTGTACGACATGGATGAACAACGGCTTTTATAAAGGAATGAATTGCTGAGTGATCATTTAACAATGTTCTATTTTCAATTATCAGTTGATTAAAATTAACATTTTCATTTTTTGCCAGTCCAAAAGTGATAATTGTCTGCTCCATAGGTATTTTTTAGATTGTAGACTATTCTTATTCCAAAATTCTAAATATTATTAATTGAGGAGCTTTTTTAAAAATATTGCAGATTTTATTGAAAAGAGAGAGTATGATAATTTATTTTTTTTTAAATCATATAACGTAAAAAAAAGTAAAAATCAGAGATTTATCTATCATAAAATATTTTACAATAGCATCGAGAGTTAGTATCATGTCTGAATAAATTTGAAAAAAAGAAAAAGTGTTTTTTGCAATAAATGCAATTGTTAATAATTGGATTATAGTACTTTATAATACTAAACAGTTACCAAGTTATTCCTACTAGCTTTAAACGATATTCTAGAATAAATTTGTAAAACGATATTTTAGAATTTATTCATATGTTATTTAAATTTGGAAAAAGAATAATGAAATAAAATTGAAATGATGCTTGGAGACAAACTTAATAATGCAAGTTTTCTGCAAGAAATAGCAAATATCAACAAATGCATTTTCATAATCGCCTTATATGAAATTTCAAAAAATTTGTCATTAAGAGCGAAATGCTTGCAAAAAATGCATATAAAGGAAAGAGATAAGATATATATTTTGTATGACGTAAAATAAGTCATTTCTATCCAACTGAATATGTATGATTCGAAATAAGTTATATTAATAATTGAATTAGATATTCGATATTTTCTTATCTATCCATCCATATGATTAGGATTAAATTCAGAGTACAAAGTATTAATTTGCTTCTCAACAATTTAACAATGAATGCAAACGAAACTGCTTGTAGTTATGCGAAAAAGACATGAAGGAAATTTGGAATTGGTAATAAAATTGAAAATTCTTTTTCTCATTGTTGGAATAATTAAAATTAACGAAGTTACATAATTAATTATACGTTAAATAACAGTAAATCACTAGAAATATCTACCATTTCACACATAGAAGAAATCAATTCTCTAAAAGAATTTTGGAAATTTTCAGTAGTCATAAAATAAAAAAACTTTTTTCATTAATGTTTTTTAATTTCAAATTCCCGTTTTGAATGCGCTGAAAATTTTCAGTAATAGATCGGTAGCAAATTCGCTTTTAAATACTTTCAAAGTTATTTGCTTGATTATTATAAGCGATAAGTTTTATAGAATATAATTCATATTCTAATTTTGCTGCTTTTAAACGAATCATTTCTCTAGCTATTTATTTCTGTCGCGAATTTCGATTCGCGAAACTTCAACCATACAAACAAATAATCAAATAAATTTCTTATTGTAAAC